AATCGTTAACTACACATTGCCCATAATGAAGCGATGCCGAGCATGAACCCTCGGTGTTAGCCCATCGCGTTCACACAGAGCTTTTTCAAAATTTTCCATATCTAAATTGATGATAGCTCTATTGTGTAATGCTGTATAATTTGTGGGATCAATTTGTAATAGTTGTGTATAGATGTTCATGGCTTTTTCCAAGTCTGTAGTATAATATGCAAACCGAGCTCTGTAAAGTAATTTCTTTATATTTGGTGCCTTCCATGTCTTCCACATTGAATTCCAAATAAATAAAGAATCATCTTTCTCCATTGTAATTGTGTCTTTCCTCTTTTGTTTTTCAGGATCATGACGCATGACAAATATTTTTGCAGTTGCATCATTTTCAGCATTACAATTATGAGCATCTTGATAACTAATTTCTGAAACATAATGCTGAAGATTGCTGTAGATTGTTTGCTGTGGTAAATAATATGCCTCATTCCTTCTAATCTCAGTTCTACAACAAGGGCATTCTATTATCTCCAATGATGAAAAAGCCTTGGGACTGATAAAATGTTGACAACTAAGCTGATACAAACAATCAACAATTTCACAAGTAATAGTGCATGTGAGATCTTCAGCAATATAATCAATTGGGTTCCTCTCATTATGATTCTCTTTACTTTTGCCTTTTCCATTCTGACCACTCATCTCCACTTTATCAGGGTCCAAAAACATTTTTGATTCAGCTTTCAATTTTTCTTTCAAATAATAGTACATATCCACTAGTCTTGGTTTGTGTTCTTCATCATCAGTATTAGCAATGTCATCAGCTGTTGTAACAAACAATTCATGATTTCTGGCTTCAAGGTGCAATAACACTTCAATTGATTTAAATTGAATAAATTCACTGATTGCATTATCCAATGAGTCTAATGCCAAATAATAACAAATAGCTTGTGTAGTTGTGGAAAATGTATTCTGGACAAGTTGTTGGACAATATCTAAAATGCCAAACCAAAGTTCATCCCTAGTATCCTGACACTTTGCCCTATCTTCAGAGTAGCATAAACTGATATGGTACCAGAGATACTCAAGAAGCACTCTTTCTTTAAAGCTTGTTGAAATGGCAGACTCCCATTGACACCATGTATCAAGACTGTCTTGTAACATGACAAGCCTTCTCCAAGTAAGATACCATGATTTACCTACTGGTTCAAATGCTTCTGCAAGATATCTCCATGATCTCTTCAAGTCAAAATCACTGAGATGAACTTTTGCTCCAGGAATAGAAACAAATAAAGCTTTTAATGCTGCAATAAATTGATCTACACTTATCTGCTGTTGGTTGTTATCATAAATACTATATTTTATAATTTTGAAGAGGTATTTATTGCATTTATATTTAAAGTGTTCATTAGATTTCCAAAGATTTCCTCTATGCATAATCCTTTCACTTGTCTTTGTGTACATGGAAGCGATTTGAGATGTAAATTGATGCTTACGCTCATGTAGTTGCTGCAAGATAGTTATAACAGTTCGTAATTGCCATTCCAATCTAATAAGCATCTCTTCTGAATATGCTTTATCGTTTGTTTGAGGACACAAACTCTCCATAGCTGTTATTAACGTTTCTAATGAAACAGAATTACCTTCATGTTTAAGAATGTATTTGAGTGCATAAAGATTCTCAGAATATTGTATGTCAGTCAACAATTCCTTAATTTGTGCATCTGCTTCTGTATGGCCTTGTTCCGTTAATTTACACATAAGTTCGGAGAAACCAGGAGACGTCATGATACTTGTCGTGGGATGTTAATCGTTAAATCGAAGTTAACTAGATATTGTGCTACGTCATATCTGCATTGTGTGACAAAGAACCTGCAATGGTACAAGTACCCGCTACCATATTGTTGAAGAGTAACCCTGTTCTAAAATTAGGCAGACGAGTATGACAAGCAAAAATGCTTTTTAGTAATTGATTAATTTGCGCCAAAATATACCGATTATAGATTAACGTAAGCATAAAAGCACATTGAGATATGCGATATGCTAATTTGAAATTTTAAAGTATTGAACACATTAAATATGTCGTATATAAATCCCGCCCTATAAATTCCGGATTTATATGGTGACGAGATTTATATACGAACAAATATAACGTTTATTTAATCCAAAACACTTTCGGTGAGAATTTTATAATGTCTGATGAAAGTGCCGATTCAGCAATCGCAGGAGAGCAATCGATCATTAACTTTAGGAATTTGGCTATCTTCCGAGCTTCTCCCACTTCGCTAAATATAATGACAGTTAGTGACCTTTAAACTACTCACAACCTACCTAGCGTCGATCGGTAGACACTAATCCTAGACGAATATTCGCCCTCGAGCTAATAACAATCGTAATGTCACGAAAATGTCCAAGGCAGATATTACTAATCAATAATTTACCAGAATCATTAATAATGTATTTCAGAAGTATAAAGATCGACTCGTTTATTATTAGAAAGGAATATGATGAATTCTATCGGAAAGTCGCGCTTCTTATACTGTTATCTAATCGAACTGCTCTTTTTTGCCTATTTTTAACGGCCTGTACCACTGCCCTGTGAATGGCAATGCTAACGTAACATTGATGATCGGAAGGTGGTCACCTGCAGAAATTAAAGGAATACTAACATTAACTTTATTATGATAACACCAAATTATAATGCTATATGTGTGAAGTTTGTTATGGGCTCCATTTTCGCCTTTCCGATCCACCTTTATTTGAGCAGATGACGTAATGGCTGATATGTGAGATATATGTATAAAAAGACATTTGCCAAAAATCACTCATGTTTGCCTTATACACTCATACCCCGTTTATATTCCCCTTTCGTTTAGCCCAAAAGTGGGGATATAAGCGGGGTGGGGATATAAGCGGATCTCGTAGTCACATGACAAGAATGATAATGATAATGATAATGCAAAAATAAAATAAAATGAGTTATTCGAGTATATACGTACAATGCTATTATCAAAAATATAAATTCAGTTGCTTTGTTTTAATTTATCAATGTGTTCTTTTTCAGCCTTACTAAGTTGTTCAGAAAAGAAATATCATTTGCAGTTGCATGATCTAACCGTTCAATATACTGCTTGAATATACCAAACGCCTTTTTACCTTCTTCATAAGTGATAATGAATCTTTCCTCCTCTTCTTTACCTTTACCGTTGTCACTACTTGGAAGACATTCTAATATCAAAGAATCAAATTTCATGTAAATAACAATCGCGAGGGACCTTTATTCACAACATTCTATGTAAATGTAACACGTAAATAACGCGAAAATAACTATTACACTGCCTAACGTCCATTGCATTACAAATAACACGTAAATAACTGCATGCAGTCTTTTTTAGCAAAATTGGTGCAACTTAGGGGATATAAACGGGTTCGGATTATTATATTCGGTTATAAGAATTTTTGGGATAGGGATATATCTGAGGTGGCACAAAAAGGGACATTCGTTCTTAGAAGGCCATTTGTTTTTACAAAATTTGGGAATATAAACGGGGCACGAGTGAGTTAAAAACGCAGATTGTCAGAGAAGTAATAATATGTTGACCCTGACGTATTGCAGAAAAGGAAATTAAATTTATTTAATTATTCGTTTGCTAGCTATAAAATAATACATTTTATGTATTAATTAACTATTAGTATTAGTCATAATTAATAATAACATTGCGTTTCAGACGATTTAAGTTTGACTATATACAGTCGACCTTCCCTACAGTCACACGCTCGCGCCGGACAAAACCAGTGACTCTAAGGAGGGGTGACTGTATAAAGGGATTCATCGATAGTCATGTGATCAATAACATATGTTACACCATAAGTTTTATTAAAAAGAAGTAATAATGAATTTACGTAAAATAAGATTCGATTTTTTGTTGACGTTTTGATTCAAGTTCCTTGAGGCTGAGCAGGTTTAAATATTTACGAAACATGCGCAAATCATTAAAATCAAGACTGTACTGTCACTCGAAATATCTAATTACAGTTTCTAAACCCAACCAAGCATCTTTTACCTGCACACATGATATTTCTTCTCGAGACTCGTCACTGTCATCTTCATCCTCCATAATGACCATAGAAACTATCTGTTCAAGGGAAAGAGGTTCCTCAGCAGTAATAGGAGCGTCGAGTTCTTGTATATAGTTTTGCATAATTGTGCGATTTTCATCCGGTAAACTATCGACCAACATTTCGATCTCGTTTTCTTGGTTCATTTCTGAACCTGCTATATCCATCATATTGGTATCATCACAAACTGGCGGCAAGACACCAGTATGGCGCCAGCAATTTTTAATTGTATCAGCAGAAATATTCTCCCAAGCGAGTGCGATATATTCGATTGCCTGTTTTACATTAATTTTAAATCTAAAAAAAGTTAAACCATATTTCTATATGTCAGAAATTTGAGACAGACTGCAGAATATAGTTATGTTCGATTAATAATGGCAAACAGAAATACCTGTCATTACGAGCACCGGCTCCCTCGTCAAATTGTCGAATTAAATAACGACAGAACAAACGCTTATAATGTGCCATCGGTTGTAAATGCGCGGTACTATTTGGTGGAAGGTAATGTATTTTAACATTAGTTAACCGACTTGATGTATGACCTTCAATATTTTCTTGATTGAGTCGTGAGGGATCTATATGTGAGCTCGCATTATCTACAAGCAATAGGGTGTTTATTTTTTTGATTCGACAAAAGTGATCGAATTTCTGGACCCATTCACGAAAAAGATCGGTTCTCATCCATGATTTCGAATTTGCGCGATAGGTTACTGGAAGTGACGACAGGTTGACGTTTTTAAAACAGCGAGGCTTCCCACAGCGAGAGGTTGGAGCTTATGAGTTCCAGTAGCATTACAACATAATAGAACTGATAAACGGGATTTGTCCTAAAAAGAGAGAATTTGTGCATGTAATCAAAATCACAGAATAAGCTTAGCAATAACAATTTAGCTTAAAATTTACCCTTTTTCGACCTGCTATGCTACTGGTACTCAGTGTCGATTAGGTTCCATGCGATAGAACAAACCCGTCTCATCAGCGTTATAAATATTTTCAAGATCATATTCAGCTAAGACCTGTTGCAACCTTAACCTCCCCTCTGCTATGTCCATTAGAGCATCGAATGTCGTCATCTTCAATATTAAAGCTCTCAGCAAATTCGAGGCCTTTCTCTTGAAGAATTTGATCTGACAGAGGCAAATTCATCGCAATAGCTTGGTTTACCCACAATTTCTCAACTTAGGGTACTTAACAGAACGTTGACGAACTGTGCTAGGATCCTGTTGTGTCAAAAGTATATTAAACCATTTTTTTTTTTTGGATAAAATTTTGGTTACAGTTGAGCGATTCATGTTAAAATTATATTTATCATTAAAATGTTTGGCAATGTCTGCATGGTTTAAAGTAATTTCGCGTTTATTATCAATGCTCAATTGAACTCTTTTTTTCGATTGATGTTGTGAGGACATTGTGTAAAGATTAAATGGTTTGTGTTTATTATTACCTCAACGTTTATATACGTGGTTTTACTCATTACGTTATATGATGTAACATTTATTCAATACTATCTTACTGTGTAAATTTATGGCTTATAATATGGCCTTTACGAGATGTTTATCACTGATATAAGTTGTAGAAGCATGTCGCTACAATAAATCGCTACATTATGTGCTATGCACGACATAAAATTGACGTTTGTTGGGTTTACAAAATTAGCCCTTTATTTACACAATAATTGTGACTGTGTAGAGGGATTTTATATATAGACGTCATAGTAACGGGGATCCAAAATCGGGTGACTGATTATCACTATAATGTGACTTTATAGGAGGAAATCACTATGGGACCGAACCAAAATGTGACTATAAGTCAATGTGACTGCATAGGAGGTGACTGTATGTAGGGGAGGTCGACTGTATTTATTATTCGAGAGGGGGAATCTGCTTTCTATGAAGTTGTCGTTATCTGAATCCATTTTTTGTAGATGCAGCAAATATTTTCTATCAATAACATCTTTCTTGCTTTTTGTACCTTTTTCTGTTGGTTGATAGTATGTTCAGAGACGTCAAATTTACTCTTTACACACAGTTTTTGTAATAACGTTCAAATCATAAAATCAGGTCGAGTACCAATAAAGGAGTAATCTGAAATATTATATGAGCATTCCTGTAAATTGAACCGTAGCGTTTTTCTTAACGTCAGTGATTGAGTTGGTAAAGTCTGCCTGCGACATTGCTGAAGACATGTCAGGTGGGCGCACACTAACAAACACGTCAAATTAATTATAATGCACATTGCAAATCAGCCACTTTTTTCTGACCCCATTCTTGAGAAGGGACATTTTACTACAATCTTCTGTGAAATAAATGAAAAGAGTAAAGACAACAATAGCAAATGGTAGATGAGAATGGTCCTCTCCGGCATGATGAAACTTTATAAAGCAAAAATTTATCTTCATCAAGGCTAATGACACCAAATAAGAAAGTTAAGGAAGCAAAACAAATACGAAACAAATTACACTAATGTTAATTAGCGTTAACCAATTCACTTACCCTAATTTTTTCATAGCAATCTAATCTTCGAAAACGATTGGAGGTAAACTTCTGACACAGCTAAAAAAATTGGTCTCATTGGTTGTCTGTTAGTAATAAGTAGTTTTCGCTATAACTTTTACTAAGCAATAATTGTTAGAATGTAACTAACTGCGTTTTAATAGCAAATATAAGCTTACCAGACGTTAGACTGCCGAATAGTTAGTCACAAATTCCGTATTTGTATTTCTTCTGATCGTTAGGTTCAAACTGATATTTTTAATATTTGCTCGATTACAACGTTGAATAAGGAATATGTTAGATTGGAGCGCTTCAATATCGAATATGATACGATCGGATGTTAATATCAATATTAATCGCATAAGTAATCTCAAAATGGCTGTTACCAGTATTTGTTCATTTCCCTTTTTAACGAATAAAGAAATTATGAAAATAATGATACTTACTGTATACTCACACACCTGCCCAATGCTGAGATTGATACGCTGGAGAAAAGAATCAGGTAAACGGTAAAGACAAGAGCTATTACGAAACATCCGAGTTGACGCTTGAACCAATACATATGCTGTATGTCCATTCCAAATGGACATATGTCAGTTTGGAATTTATGTCTATTCCGAATGGACAGATGTCAGATTGGAATCATAAAGACAATCAGGTAACAACATTATAAAATTATTTTATTAACATTACAATATCAACTCTACTGCATATAAACATGTTATGATGCACAGAACGATGTACCTAATTAACATTGATGATTATGATGTTGACAGTTTAAGTTACAAATGACAGCAGCTTTGCGACAAGCACATCGAGCCGTTGAACAATTAGTCTTACAAACTAT